CTTGAGCCACAGGCGCCAAGCCGATGAGGTGGATTAAAATAAGACTGTACATGAGTGCGTGCATTTTAGAATAATTGAAACTGAAAAAAAAAAAAAAGGACCAGTAAGAAAGAGGGAGAAACCATCAAATACTTTGTCCTGAACATGTAGGACTGTGTCGACATACGTGTCCATCAGGAGAACAAGTGAGCAAACTTTAGTTCTCACTTAAAGTCCCCACTGGTTCGTGACTTTGTGGGCAAATAGGTAAAATCTTCTAAAAGGTTTTAGAAGCCCCGATAATGGCAGGTGCTCCCCTAAGCACTTTGCATCCCTCATCTATTTTAAAACAATTCTAACGTGAAAATTATTATTTTAACTGGACAAAGAGACTGAGACCCACAGAAGTTAAGTGACAGGCCAAGGCCCTGCAGGAGGCTGCTGGCTTCTCCAGCAGGACTCTGGCCTGGAAACCTTGGGGTTGTGTTTTGAGCTTTAGTAAGGCATAACTGACAAATAAAAATCATGCACGTATATATATTTAATGTGTATGGTGTGATGTTTTGGTATCCATACACTGTGAGGTAACCTGCACAATTAGGCTAATTAACATATCCCTCGCATGCTTACCAGCCCCTGCTTTTTGTGGGGAGAACATTTAAGATAGCCAAGATATGGAAGCAACCTAAATGTCTGACGACACGTGGGTCAAGAAAACATGGCATGTATGTAAAACACACACACACACACATGCACACTCTCACAGAGGAATATTACTCAGCCTTTAACAGGAAGGAAATCCTGCCCTTTGACAGCCAAGTGGATGAACCTGAACGACATATGCTAAGTGACATAAGCCAGACACAGGCAAACGCTGCATGATCTCGCCCGTGTGTGGAGTGTAAAATAGTCAAACTCAGAAACACAGAGAAGGGTGGTTGCCACGGACCGAGGGTGGGGAAAAGGGAGGTGGTGGTCAAGGGTACACGGCTCTCTGGGTTTTTATCCAGCCTTCTGCTTCCTCTAGCCTAAGGCCAAACAACCCCTGATAGTTGCTTGGAGTGGTGGTAGGGGGTGGGATATTATTAGGGAAGAATAAGAGGAGGATGCAGAAATGTCCAGTGGGGACCTTAGTTTTGTTTTATTAATGGTGGCAGGGGGGACAGGGCAGTGGGGCTGCAGGACTCAGGATTCTGATTTTCTTTTTATTGTTGGGGATTCATTGAGTGTACAAGAAACCAGGTTACACTGATTGCATTTGTTACGTAAAGTCTCTCTTACAAATGTGTCTGGCCCCCAAAAGGATCGTCACACACCAAGACCCCACCTCCTCCCTCCTTCCCTCTCTCTGCTCTCCCCTTCCCCCACCGTGTCATTGTCATTAATTGTCCTCATATCAAAATTGAGTACACAGGATTCATGCTTCTCCATTCTTGTGATGCTTTACTAACAATAATGTGTTCCACTTCCATCCAGGTTAATACAAAGGCTGCAAAGTCTCCATTTTTTTTAATGGCTGAATAGTATTCCATGACATACATATACTGCGGTATATGTATATTACTGCTTGGTAATCCGTTCCTGGGTTGGTGGGCATTTAGGCTGTTTCCACATTTTGGCAATTGTAAATGGAGCTACAATAAACAGTCTAGTGCAAGTGTCCTTATGATAAAAGGATTTTTTTCCTTCTGGGTAGATGCCCAGTAATGGGATTGCAGGATCAAATGGGAGGTCTAGCTTGAGTTCTTTGAGGGTTCTCCATAAGGAAGGAAGTCCCACCAGCAGTGTAAAAGTGTTCCCTTCTCTCCACATCCACGCCAGCATCTGCAGTTTTAGAATTTTGTGATGTGGGCCATTCTCACTGGGGTTAGATGGGTGGTTTCTCTAAGGGTGGTTTTGATTTGCATTTCTCTAATAATTAGGGATAATGAGCATTTTTTCATATGTTTGTTAGCCATTCATCTGTCTTCTTTACAGAAGGTTCTATTCATGTCTCTTGGCCATTGATATATGGGATTGTTGGCTTTTTCATGTGGATTAATTTGAATTCTCTAGGGATCCTAGTTATCAAGCTTTTGTCTGTTTCAAAATATGCAAACATCGTTTCCCATTGTGTAGGCTGTCTATTTGCTTAGGTGGTTGTCTCCTTAGCTGTACAGAAGCTTTTCAGTTTAATTAAATCCCATTTGTTTATTTTGTTGTTGTTGCAATTGCCATGGCAGTCTTCTTCATGAAGTCTTTCCCTAGGCTGATATCATCAAGTATTTTTCCTATGCTTTCTTTGAGGATTTTTTATTGTTTCATGCCTTAAATTTAAGTCCTTTATCCATCTTGAATCAATTTTTGTGAATGGAGAAAGGTGTGAGGAGTCCAGTTTCAGTCTTTTACATGTGGATATCCAGTTCTCCCAGCACCATTTATTGAACAGGGAGTCTTTCCCCCAGTGGACATTATTGTTTGGTTTATTGAAGATTAGGTGGTTGTAAGATGTTAGTTTCATTTCCTGGTTTTCTATTCAATTCCAAATGTCTATGTCTCTATTTTTGTGCCAGTACCATGCTGTCTTGACCACTATGGCTTTGTAGTACAGCCTAAAATCTGGTATGGTGATGCCCCCAGCTTTGTTTTTATTACTAAGAACTGCCTTAGCTATACGGGTTGCAAAATCACTTTTTTCCAAGTCTTGAAAGTACAATGTTGTATTTTAATAAGGATGGCATTGAATTGGTAAATTGCTTTGGGAAGTATAGTCTTTTTAACAATGTTGATTCTTCCCAGCCATGAGCATGGTATGTTCTTCCATTTGTTAATATCCTCTGCTATTTCCTTTCTTAGGGTTTCATAATTTTTTTTATAGAGGTCCTTCACCTCTTTTTT